AGAGTTCTTTAGTTCCTCCATTAATTCTTTGATCTCCCGCATTTCTCTTACTTCCCTCTTTAGGGACTCAATTTCCTTCTTCTGATCTATCACTTTTTTAATCATGGCAATTTTAAATTCTCTTTCTGGAAGGCTCAGAAGTTCTTCCAAGTTGCTGTCGTTGCAATCTGGGGAGTGGTTTTCTTTTTGTGGTGTGCTTCTTTCCTGAGGAGTTGTTAGGTTGCGTGTGGTTCTTCTACTCCCTACTGTCTGTTTTCTAATTTGTCGTATGCGTTGGGACACTGTGTTGCTCGGACTGACTGACATCTTGGGTGAACTTCTCCGCTCCCCTCTGGCTCTTCCAGGAGCCATCTCTGTCTTCTGGGGGAGCTTTCTGCTGGTTTTAGGCAGTTTTTACTGAAGAAATGTCCCTGTTCTCAAATGGCGAAGCGGGATGCAGTCCCTGCGCCTCCGGTTTCAGGCACACTCTTCTGCGCACCCGGTCTGCCCCGGACGTGGGTGCCTGCTCCCTCTGTGGGCTCAGACTGCTGGTCGGAAGGGGCCTGGCGTGGAATAACTTCCCGGCTGGCCACTGGGTCCTCCAGAAACCTTCTGCCCTTTTCAAGCAGACTTAAGAAATGTCCTGTTTTATAGGGTGTTAGTGACTTTTTTTTTTCCTGGTCGCTAGGTGGCGCCAGAGATCTCTCCTATTGTCCTTGGGGGGCTGTTTTTCGCCTCCCCCCACCCCGTGGGACAGAGAACAGAGCGGGAATGGTAGGGTACACCTCAACAGCTTTGGGGTGCTGTGTCTGCCTTGTGCCCCACCTTCGTGGAGAACCCACGCCCTGAATTTTCGTGCCCCGGGTCTCAGTTCAAAGCCCTCAGGTCCAGGACGCGGGCTGTAGCCCAGTTCAGTGGCGCGGGAATGGCGCCTTTTGCACCCGGCTCCCGTGCCTGGGCGCCTGGTTCCTGCTTACTCAGGGAGGGACCTTCACCTCAGTGAGGACCTCCGTGCGTCTCCCCGCAAGCCTAGGTCGTCTCCCCGCAAGCCTAGGTCGCAGGCGCGGGGACCTGGGCAGCCGCGATCCCGGTCTGCACTTGCTTTTCAAGCGCGCTAGGCGCGCCGCGTTTCCCGCGCAGGCTTACCGGCAGCCCGGGCTGTGTGCGTGTCTCCCGGGGTCTTTGTTCTTCTCTAATGGCGCCCGGAGCCGTTCGCTCACCGCCGCGGTGGATCCTGCAGGGTTCGCCTCAGCTCCCGTTCACGGGGTGTGGTGGCTGCAATAGTTCCTTTCCACTCACAGTCCTGCTTGCTGTGTCCTTTGTTCTTGTTGGCCGTTTTGGTTTGTTGTTTCCTCCTCTCTGCCGGTCGGAGAGTGCCGCCTCTGTGGGCGGGGGAGGGGAGCAGGGTTCTGGGCTTCCCTCCCTTCTAGTCCTCTTTTATGGCCACTTTCTTCTTTGGGCAGTTTGCTGGCGTCACCCGTTTATCTTCCGTGTCCCAGTTCTCACTGGGACCTGCCGCTTTTCCTCCCTATTCACTTTTTTTAATGGGAGATCTTACTCGCAGCGTCTCCTCGCCGCCATGTTGCTCCGCCCCCCACTGCATTCAATGACTGCTTTTCTATCTTTTTATTTATGTTCTCTTCACTCACCAAGCATGTCCATCTAGTATTAGGGCCTTTGCAAGAACAACAACAATAGATAATATTTAGTAAATGCTTAATTATGTATCAAACACCATTCTTAACACTTAGCCTATGTTCTTCATTTAATCTTCCCCATAACCCTGTGAGATAAATATTATTAATCTCATTACCCATGAGATACTGAGAGACTAAAAGTTATTTCAGAATCCTAGAAAGTATGATAGATCAGGATTCAAATCTAGGTAGTCAGACTCTTTTTAACCTGCCCCAGTGACTAAAAGATGCCCTGGTTGATCCACTGGGAATGTCCTTCCCATAAATTTACAGTCCATGACTTACTCATCAATCAGATCTCAGACTACACATCACCCTCTGAAAGGTTTTCCCTACTCAATCTAATGCCACTCCCAATCATACTTCATCAAATTGACCTATCTAATATCTGAGTTAAATTTATTCCTCCCTGATACATTTAGCTTGCATTCTTATTTACTTATCCCCTCCTCCCATCAAAACATTAGCTTCACCAGAAAAAAAAAAAAAGGTGTCCTGTTGTACTCACCATAGCAATTCTATTTCCAAAAAATAGTGCTTGTGCTCACTAAGTCTTAACTGAATCAGTGAATAAATGAATGAGTGAATAAAACACCATTGTCTGAAGTCCAAATCCCAAAGCTCTTCTTTTAAGGGTGTGCCTTCTAGATAGACTTAACTGGAGTAAGAATCAAGTACTCTCACCAAACAAGGTAAGTGGAAAGTATCAATTAGCCAGTAGACCACTCACCATGATCACCTAATATGGAAGAACTTTATGCAAAACACCTTATCCATGACTCAACAAAGAGTAAAGGACATATCCATACATAATTATCACAGCTCTAGTTTTTGTTTTCATCATATTGATTGGCACAGAGTCCAACAAACCTTGTCAATATACTATTTCAGATAAGCTGTAGCACTCATTTTAGATGAAAATACTATTTTTAAATTGCTAATACTTTAGTTCATTAATCCTTCATTTCAAAGTGTGCTCCTTAGATTAATACTACAAAAACTAATTTACTCAATGAAGCTCTGGGATAGAAAGTTGTAGCAGAACAAAGGCAAATCCAGAGTGGTGAGAGGAAGACAAGGGCTGACCTTGCATATTGTGAGCCACCGTGGAAAAGGTGAGAAAGCTGATGGATAACAGACATGGAGGAAAATGACAAAGAGGGGAACACACAGAGGAGAATGAAAAAAAATGCAAAACGTGACTTCATAAATGTTCAGAGGATCTGACCTGGCTAGAGAATCAATTTGAAAATACCTTTCTTTAAAACCAGAGCTCACATACTATCACTTGCATATTTCAAAAATGGTTTACATTGAATTTAAAAGTCCATTGAGTGAAATCTCAGAGTAAATGTTTGTAAAATTAATATACTATAATATAGAGATGTTTCCTTCACACAGACAGAACAACTGACATTAAGAAAGTGAAGGAAAGATACTTGGTATGAAATATAAATAACCACAGAAAACAAACTGGCAGAGTCCTGCAAAAATAATTCTTTACCATTGTAATGACATTTTGGGCAAGAAGGGAAATGAAAGTATGTATTATCTCATCATCTTAAACTTGGATTACTTTTCATATTCTATCTAATTTTATTATTTATATTTTGTTCAATTAAGAATTTATTTTTCAGACCTAAGAAAAAAATCACATATTTGTTTTATGGTGTTTTCAGGGGTCAGGATGTCTTTCTATTTATTTCAATACATTTGTATTTGAAATTTGCATGCATTTATCACTGCCTATGATTTTAGAAATATGTATGAAAGATCATATTATCTTCACTTATTGTGCATTCACAAAAATATACCCAACTAGATCCACCCAGAATACATTAACATTTTTCTAGTTCAAATGATACTACTTGGTTCATATATTGTTCATGTGTTTATACAAAGCAGAGCTGACATATTCTAAATACATTTAACCTAAGGTACTGCTATTCAATGTAGAAAATGCTATAAAGTTTTCAGAATTATTAAACCAGTTTATCAGATTCAAGGAAATTATAAAGTAATTCCATATATAAAGATGCCATCACATCTAATTTCTTCCATAAAGGAGAAAAAATGTATTAAATTCAGGTTTTGTGAAATGTTAGATTACTAAATTTGTATTTATCACTGAAGTAATGGTACAAAACATAATTATATCATTCATCATCTTCCTAACTGCATAGCTTAGTATTCTGCCAGTTACAAATTATTCTTGAGGAACTTATATAAAGAAAAATGGGCCAAAAATAAGCTCCAAGCTAAAATTAGTTTTGTCCTTGATTTGCTTTGTGGAATCTGTTCTTTCCCTTCCAAACACACAGGAACTAACAGGAATTACCCAGAAGTCTGTCAATTTAAAGGACAGGCAAAGGAGGATGGAAAAACATGAAATAGGCCAAAAATTTTTAAGAAATGAAAATAGATATAAATGGACAAGAAAGAATATTCCTTTGTTCAGACCAATGGTCAGCATTTATAGTGACTCACCTTGCCTTTCACAATGGGGAGAATAAATCACTTACACATTATGCTTTTAAAAAATCTTACAAAATGCCTGGGTTCTTCTCAGTTTAACTTTTGACATTTATGAAATCAAGGTTTTCCTAAAATCTTATGCACAGCTGAGGTGATGAAATATTACAATTTTTCAAAATAACCATTGATTTTTCTATCATTTATTCTAACAATTGGTTGACTACCTCTTTCACTGCATGTGACTACAGGGACCAAGGGGTTAAGTTAAGGCATTTTTCCTTGGGCCTCCTGTTGCTCTATCAGACCCTGTTGACCTTTCAAAATTCTGTCTCTGCAGGTAGACTGCAGTTGAATTGTTAGTTTTCTATATTTTCACAGAAGCTACTCATATACCAGTACACACTGGCCACCTTACAGATTCCTACCTAACTTGTATAAATTCACCAAAGTCTGGAAGTATGGGGGTTGAAGAAGGTTGGGAGATGGGGAGCTGGTGACCAGGTAAAACAAGTACTGGGCAATTTCTTTAATTTTTCACATTTCTTTACTTAGGAGAAGCAGCTGCTGAATTGGTATAATGATGATGACTTCTCTCACTTATTTCTTTGCAGATTGTACAAATCATTTCCCATTTTATAATTCCATACTTTAGTCTTAGAGCATTGAAAGAGCAGCTATTCATGGTACAAATTATAGTTCAATGCGCCCACTGTGAATCATTTAGAATATGCGCAATTAATCCCACAGATTTGCTTTGTTTTAGGATCTCTTTCTTTGCTATTAGTGTGATATGTGTGTAGGAATCATTGGCCATGTTCGCCCAACATGTTTATGTTTCTCTAATTTCAGCATGTGGCAAATTGATGAAAATCACGGGCCCAATTACAGTCAAGACATCTGGAACTCGGTTTGGTGCCTGGATGACAGATCCTTTAGCTTCTGAAAAAAATAACAGAGTATGTTGCTTCCACAAACCACTTTGCTTATAATTATATTTTATTTACACTTTAAGTCTCCTGGACTATTTATTATCCTCAGGGTATTAGTTTCAACTTCCAAAGTGTTACATCATTTGCAAATCTTTCAGTATGATAACATAACATTTACAGATATATGGCAAACTTATTTGTTACTATGTTCTAATACACACACACACACACACACACACACAGATACATTTCACCAGTATATTAAGTCTAACTATTCTGGGATTAGTCTTATTTTATGCTTCAAAAGGGCAAGTTACAAGTAAGTCTCTGCATTAATAACTGAATCTTTTGGGGAATAATTTCATAAATTGGCAATGTCTGTATTATACAAATCAGTACACTGGAAAATTATCATAAACTCCACTTATGTTTTATTACAAAACTTACATACATTAAGATTATATCCAAATGTGATTTGTGCCTTAATTAGTAATATGTTTTCATTAAAAGGTAGTTGTACCTAAAACTGATCCAATGAGCAAGTTTTGCTAGAAGGTTCTATAGTATCCATAAAGGAGACTAAATTGAACATGTAAAATTAACCATACATTTTCCGAGCAAGGGTGGAATATATTTGCTGAAAGTGCTATTTTTTGCAGTTATCATTAACCTCATTGATTTATCAGGTAACTGAATAAAGTGATGTGATTTACTTTGATATATATTTGGTTTACCCAGTGATTGATACCAAATGGTCAAAAGTTAAAAATAAATTTAAAAAGGACACAAAGAAAATCCATTTCAAGGCAGTCCATTCAGTTGTTTCCTTTCTTACATAGACCATGCCACTATTTTTGTAAAAGCTGGCAGTCCTATCACATAGCAGCAGGTCAGCAGTCAGATAATGTGGCTTCCAGAGCCTGAGAACAGTGATATAAATGTGCTGACTCTCACTGTCTTTATTTAGGAACTCTTAGAAAAGTACAGCATTCAGTCACTCCATTTATTCTGTCTTTCTTCTCAGGTCTGGTACATGGACAGTTACACTAACAATAAAATTGTCCGTGAGTACAAATCAATTGCAGACTTTGTCAGTGGAGCTGAATCGAGGACATACAACCTCCCTTTCAAATGGGCAGGAACTAACCATGTTGTCTACAATGGCTCACTCTATTTTAACAAGTATCAGAGTAACATCATCATCAAATACAGCTTCGACATGGGGAGAGTGCTTGCCCAACGAAGCCTGGAGTATGCTGGCTTTCACAACGTTTACCCCTACACATGGGGTGGATTCTCTGACATCGACCTAATGGCTGATGAAATCGGACTGTGGGCTGTGTATGCAACTAACCAGAATGAGGGCAATATTGTCATCAGTCAACTGAACCAAGATACCCTGGAGGTGATGAAGAGCTGGAGCACTGGCTATCCCAAAAGAAGTGCAGGGGAATCTTTCATGATCTGTGGGACCCTCTATGTCACCAACTCCCACTTAACTGGAGCCAAGGTGTATTATTCCTATTCTACCAAAACCTCCACATATGAATATACGGACATTCCCTTTCATAACCAATACTTTCACATATCCATGCTTGACTACAATGCAAGAGATAGAGCTCTTTACGCCTGGAACAATGGTCACCAGGTCTTGTTCAATGTCACCCTTTTCCACATCATTAAGACGGAGGATGACACATAAGCAAATGTAATTTGTTTTCATTGATCTAAATAGTGTCTCTTATGATAAACTCTATAGGACCCCTTCTGTTTTTTCTTTATTACATCATTTCTCCAAAGCATTTTTTTATTGCAAAGTGGTTGTTTCAAAAAAACAGCTGAGCCTGTCTAAATGAACCTGTCCGAAACACATCTTAATTCCTAAATTTACAAGGCCTATCATGTCCTTGTCATGAAAAGCACTAAAAAGAGCTTAAGTGGCTAAAGTCATAGTTTTGCAAAAGATTAATGATCTGCCTTATATTAGAGTCAGAGACTAATGGTGGCTTAAATGCATGAATGTCTTTTTTTTTAACTGTCATTTTTTACTGTCTTTTGCTCCATATCAGGAAATATTTTGGTAGGAAGTAGGGAAACAAAGCACTTTCCCCCCATTTATTTCTACAAAAGATTTAAGGATTTTATTTATATTGAAAAGTAATATTAATCATTTTGCTGTTATACAATTCTCCTATGCGGTGCTGTACAGTCATTTTTAAATCTCTTGCTAACATTTTATTGGCGATATGGATTTCTATCATTGTAACCACCATTGTGCAATTGTATCTCTTCACTTCTGTGAAAGCAAGTAATATTTTTTATAAAATACACTGAAGTTTAATCTCAGTAATTATTATAAGTCAACTTTCAAGTGTGGTCAAAAAGAAAGTATCTTCTCAACTTACCCTTTTAAAGAACATTATGAACTAAAAAGAAAATCAAGCCAGATCCCTTACAAAGAATCTTTATTTTACCCCAAGTTTACTGAACCACTGACACTGAATGCTAAAACAGATTCAATATAGATGAGATATTATGTTCATTCCACTAAAAGCAATCCACACAGTTGGTTGCAAAGATGCAGCAAAGTCACAAAATATTGGATTTGAGTTGACTCTACTCATTTATAATATAGTCAAACAAAATTGTGCTCTTCAAAACTATATTAATGTTTTAACTTACACTGCACACACACCTTGCAATAATGTGATTCCTTGTACCAGGACTCTAGAAGTACAGGAAGCACATATAAAATTTTTTTAAAAAGAAAATTTCTTAATGTCATTTAGATTTCTATTATGAGCTCTAGAGATTTAACAGCAAGATTTGTGCAAAAGAAAATGAAGGGGAATGGACTTATTCACATGGTGTAATGTACATGTAGTCAATTTGCAAAACAGATGGGATGACAAGTCTTTGTCAGTGGATTCATTTTGTGCATAGAAACAATGTAGCAAAAAAGAGCTTTAAAAATATTTTATGTTAATAATTCTAAAAATATAATCAATATATATAAAAAGTGTCATTGAGTTTGGATGTACTTTCCATGTATTAAAAATACCTAAGACAGTTTTACAGACACAATTAGGGGTTGATTTTACAATTTACAAAGTATATTCTATAATAAATGATATATAACTTAAATTGTTATAAATGTTTAGTTTCACACATATACAGAATATCATAATTTTCTTTGTAAAGTAAGGATATAATAATTCAGATAACATTGTGTAAAGAAATGCTAACATTTAAGAGTAATTCTTTTCAAATATCCCATCATTCTCCAATATCTCATTGTCAAAATTGTAGGATTAAATAACCCAATCTTGAGATTGTTACAGATTGTTATCATTTTTGCCTACAAAAAGTTAGCATGAGTTCATGACCAACCTGGGTCCTTTTGCAATGTTGTCTTTTCTTTTCAAATGTTTATATAAGTTTTCTTCTGCTTTTAAGAATTAGAAAACTTAGGGGTTTCACTTGTCATTGTACACACACCACTAAACAATCAGTCAATACTTTGTATATCAAGAGTTTGTATGAAGAAAGAAAGTCTATTTCAGAAGTGAATGAATTTTTAAGTAGATGGCCTTTAATGGATATCTGAGTCTTCATTACCTGTTTTTTAAAAAAAATGATGTACTATGGTATAATATACATTCAAAACCTGGATGATCAAAGCTTTTTTGTGAAATGTGCAGCTTGTAAAGCACTTTATTGTTTTCTATGTAAGGTTTCATCACCACATCCAATTTATAGTGTATGACCTGCTACTGCAGGCACAGATTTTATTATTGTCGCTAGAAGTGGGGGTAACCTGAGTTTAAAAATGTGATTTGCATTAAACATTTACAGTTTAAGAGCATTTTTCTTAGTAAATTATTATCAGTTTTGTGCCTGAAATAAATAAGAACTTACTCTAATTACTGTTTTTTTAAATGTCAAATAAATTTTATGAGGGAAATACTATTTCAAAATCATACACATAATCCAATCAGTAAAGAAATTCAAACTCAGAGTTTTCATCTACGTGAATTGTGCAACTGGTGTTTCTGAATTAACCAGATCTTGAACAAATCCCCATATGATCAGTTTCTGATCATTTGTTATTAGTATTTGTGGTACATAATTCATAACACTTACTACTTGCATGTAAACTTACGTCTATAAATTCACAAAATTATAGTATTCTGATTCATCACTAACATGTAGAGATAAAAGAGAAAACAATGTCAGATACTTATATTATTGATAATATTATCAAAGTTCAGTACCTTTGCTGCTTTACCACTATACGCACAAAGTATATCACTATATATACTTTATCACTATGCTCTTTAATATCTTAGTATTCTCTGATGAAATGATATCTTCAGAAAATGTTAATTTCTTACTAAAAAAATCACAACCAAACTTGTAAGGAAAAACTTTTCGAACAGAAAACTGTACTACCTAAAAACATACCAGTTATTTTCCTGCTAAGGTAAGGTTTACATATAATAATTCTTCAACTTTATTCTCCTTAAAGAATGTATTTTCAAAAAAAATACACAACCCTATCTAACCTCTTTAGCACTCAGGATTACAATTGTTTCTATAAATACTAAATTTTAATGCATTGGTAGCAAAATTAAAAGCATTCCTTCAAGTTAATACAGATATGAAACATAGACATTATAGTCTCTAAAAGCCAAGTCTTTTTAAAATATGGGTGATTTTTGAAAACAGAGTAAAAGATGGCATCTTGCTGACTTCACAAGGTAGGTAAGGTTATAACCTTGACTAAATGTATAACCTGAGACCCTAGACCTCGTAAAAGAATGGGCATTTACAGGCAAAGCATACACTGGCTTCTCAAACATCACATCAGTGGGCCATGAGAAGAGGCCTATAAAGAGATCTACCTAACAGTATAGGCAGAGATTATTCATAAAATACAGATGTTCTGAATTACACACAGTGGTATAAACCAGAGTTACCTCAATTAAGAGAAAATGCAGATGCTGTACAAATCCTTAATCTCCAACTGTTCATAGCTAGAAGCAGTTTTTCCAAGAAAGGCCCAGAGGCACTAAGATCATACAGTTCCCTAAGCTGTATCCATAAGAAATCAAGATTATAGAATGGTTTCTAAAACTAAGAAAGCTCAGCATAAATCTATTGGAAATAATTTGCCATAATTAGTGACACTTCAGAGAAGGTCTTGGGCTGAATATGTTCTGTTGAACTGTTAAAATCTGCACTAGAAGAAAATATGAGAACACGAACTTATAGAAGAACAACCATTATTCCTAGTGTAATAATGACTCAATTGATAACAAGCTCTCAAATGAAGAATGAAAACTATTTCCTCTATTATTTAACCAATCAGCAAGAAATTTCCCCTAAACTGATTTTACTAAGCTGATTTATCTGACTCACATCTTCAAATTATCTTTTTTGGTTAAAGTATTCCATCAGGTTTAGAGGAATTTTACTCTTGTTTGGAATCTGATTTTCCTCTAAAATGTCAAACTGATAGGCAGAAAACTTATACCCTTTGGAACTCAGCTCATTAATTGCCAAATAAGTTTTACAAGTATAAATCAATATTAAGTGTGATTTGAGCATACTATCAAAGGACATAGAGTTGTGCCTTGCCAAGAATAGATATTACCTTTCATAACTATAACCATCTTAAAACATTATTCCTAGCTAGAGATGTAAAGCAATATGGTGAATATGGCAGAATCCTCAGGAATATTTTAGTGCTGCAGGAAGTTTCCTGGTAAAGCACACACATCTGTGTTGTTCAGTACCAAATTATATCACCACCTAAGTATAGTCTGCCCAAAAAGAGTTTGCACCATTTTTAAAAATAACTAAATATAGTTATGGTATAGCTTTTCCTACCACAATTTAGATTCAGAAATAGTACATATCAGCAGACATTTCCAGAAAAGAAATTTTATATGACAAGGTCTTGAAAACGGAGTGAGAAATAAGCTGACTAAAAAAGTGTTACTTGTTTTATGTTTAGCTTGTTAGAGAAATTTATCATGCTGCTGATCTCAGTAATACATACCCAGTCATATCTTTGTCTACCATTCTTCATTTCACATGAATTCATGTCACTAATTCACATGCTGCTGATGGAATTTCCAATGAAATAAGACTGCATTATTTTCTTGTTTATTCAAAAAATAATCCTTGAGCAAAACTAATTGCTAGAAGATTTTTATTGCAACATAGTTTTTATGTGTTTACATTCTCATTGGAACAATCAGCAACAAAAATATTAATGAAAAATAAGTTTTGTTTGTACTAAATGTTGTGCATCTGTATTATACAGAGTAACTAACTGGGTGCTGCTAGGGGAAGCAGGGGTAGGAGGTGATACTTAGAGGGAATATTTAAGGGAGGGAGGTCTCTAATAAGCAGTTTGCTTTGGTAAATTCAATGAATGCATTATTACAATCTGATCAAATAAAAAAAATGGTATCTTCCTTTCTGTTCCTAGAAATCAATGGATCAATATTTCGAAGGGCATAATTTTCTTATATTTTGTTTTGACCTTAGAGTTCAAAGATATACTTCTAGGGCTATACTAAGTAGCATTTCTCCTATATCATCAGTTTTTCCCTTTTGCTTTAAACAAAGGTTACTTACATCAGCTGTGGCTTTATGAAATGTTCCCTAACCAAGAAAATCCACCACTTTCCAAGTCAGGTTAAAGGATAAGATTTATACCCTCCCTCACAATTCACATCAAGACTAACGCTTTATTCTCTTTCATTTAATATCTATTCCATCACCTAAAATTCATTCTTCATCATGTCATTTCTGAAGCCTATGCCATTATTTGTGTTCCCAAAGTATTGATGTTATGTTGTCAAAGTTATCACAGCAAAATTACTGATTTCCTCCAAGTTAGTGCAGATTTCTCAAGAGTAGGGCAATGTGTATTTTCTATGTACCCTAACATACTGTCCACACAGACAAATCCCATAGCAAAATGTTAGCAACCACGGAAGCACAGGATTGAATGGTAAGGTCACATCTAAAGGCACTAAAAACTGTTCCATATTGGGCCTCCCTGGTGGCTCAGGGGTTTAAGCACCACACTGTGAAGCAATCCGCAGCCTCTGCAGCACGAGTTCAATCCCCAGCCAGCCAGGGAGCTACCCACATGGTGCAGTAGACCTCCCCTGTCTCGCCTGCTGCTCCCCTCAGCAGTAAATTTCAGTCAATCTGCCTGTTCTGTTCCCCACTCTGTCTCCGGTGGATCCTCTCAGCCCCCGCATCTCTGGCCTGTACCCCAGCTCTTGTATGCATGGATAAATGAATCTTTAAAAAAAAA